TATAAATATATTTTAAATTATAAATAGTGATCAAAACGATTAATTTGATCCAATTTCATTTACATTTAAAGATAATAATAAATAAATAAATAAATAAGTTAAAATAATTAGTCAAAAATAATTAAAATAATGATAATGAATAAATCATGTGTAAATATAAATTAATTTCTTACTTGCGCACGCCAGTTTGTGGGTATACCGCCCATATTATAATGTACCGTGGGAATTACGGGGATCGGTTCCTTGTTCACGTTTATTCCGGCAAATACCCAGGCGAGATGCGAAATTCCGGGCAGCCTCTCGCGTATCAATTCAGGCGGTAAATGAGTTAACTGCAAATAAATATGATCCTTCTTCTCCCCGACGCCACTGCGAGAAACAGTATAAAGTAATGTATTTTTCGTAAAAAGAAAGCTCTTATATAAGACATATCTTATGTCATATCTTATTTGTTTTTATTGTGCATTACGTTTAATCTTTATTCCTAATTTTTTTATTTCTTCAAAATATTTATTCCTATTCCTAATATTTCTTCCATCATATACAGAATCTGTTGCCAGATGCGTCGTGCGAGAAAATGTTGTCACATATTCTTGAGCAATGACGTGTAACTAATTCAGTATAATTAACAGTATTCAACTTTTAGTCGAGATAATGAATAGCGTTTAGAGATTAAAAAACCGGTATTTCGAAGAAAAATATCAAGTAAAAAACTAGTTTTATTGAAAATAATGATATTTTTTTAATCAAATTACATAAAATAATTCATGAAAAAACATATAAGTAGTTATTTCAATATAATTAGTTGAATGACAGATATTTTATATTTAAAAGCTAAATAAGTGATGTTATTAATACAGATGATACTTTATAAGCATAATAGATATTGTTTTATTGCATATTGATTATAATTGTACTCTATATTTTAATTATTTTGAGATAACATTCCAATATTGATTCAAAAGTAATTATAGATTCGATGAATGTTGTCTCACGAATTTAAATATAGAATGTATAATTACAACAAAAACAATGTCAATTAGTCTAGTAAAGTATTATTTGTATTAATAACAATATGAAACACTTACTTAACTTTTAAAAATTGAAGTATAGTATAAAATATCATTCAAATAATAGTGAAAGGTAAGATATATTTATAACCATCAACATTATACTATATTGACATTATACTATTTTAACTTTTATAACTATTTTTACACAGAAATCTTACGGATAAGTGCAAAAACTAAATTCTAAAACAAATCGTACAAATCGTCGAAATCGTGAAATACTAAACAAAATATCCGAGTAAAAAGCTATCGAAGCCGAAAGAAAAGAGATTGTATATTTCTCGAATTTTTTATCTTAAAATTCTAAAATTTTTTCATCATTTACATCTCTAATAGCGTTTTAGAAACTCAACTAGTCTTTTCCTTGCTTATTTGTTTAAATATAGATCTATTGTAAAATTTATTTAATTTTTTCTAAATAAAGATTTGCATGTATGCGACAACAAGTTTGTTTACAACTGCAAAGAAAATTTTCTTTTAACAATTCTATTGTCTTTATACAAGATGTTCTGGACATTTCTACAAGTTCTCTTTCCTTTCATATGATAAATTAAAAATGCTAACTCTTGATTCTTTTGCAAAGGGAAAAAAATTTGAATACAAAGGATTACGCCAACCTTCCGTTCAGTATTTCTATAGTCATAGCTCTCGACACGACGTCACGAGAAGCTAAATCCTTAGCCACTGGCGCGTACTTCTCCATGAAGAACTCTCCCTTAGAGTTGACGAGTTTGCCGCCTTCTCCACGGGTACCCTCGGTTATAAGTATGCCACTTCCATAAATACCTACAGTGCAAAAATCAATCAGTTAAAAGTACTTGAATGAGGAAGAATAAGAGTTATCCGCGAGATGTGTAGCTGATCTTAAAATACCGGTCGGATGAAACTGAATGAATTCCATATCTTGCAACGGCAATCCTGCTCGACATGCGATCGCCATGCCGTCACCAGTGCAGGAGTGCGCAGCGGTGCAGGAGAAGTAACATCTTTCGGCACCACCTGTTGCAATCACCTGCGAGATGATAACTGTTTTTATCATCAATATCGATTTATTCGCATTATTAGTATATTTCATAATTAATACATTAAGATATGAAAAGAATAGTAATTAAGCATCGACGAACAAAAAAGGAAATGGTATTTAATATATATTTAAGATTATTAATTATAAAATTGAAAGATGTATTTGCAAATTTGCACATGAATATTATCAAGCAGTAAGATACGATGTGACTTGAAAAATAGGAATTTCTCTCTTACTTAAAAAAAGGAAACATTAATTATTTATATATATGCATTAATAAATAATAATTACCTTTTTCTGTAAATTATATAGATAATAAATTAAATAAATATTATATAACATTTTGTAGCTTTCTCTTACTGTATGATGAGCTCTAAATCGATGTAGGAGTCCGGTCTCCAATTCCCAAGCCAGAATCCCTTTGCAACATCGACCGTGCATAAGTACATCAAGGGCGAAATACTCGATGAAATAATGCACGCTGTAGCGAAGACTCTGGCCGTAAAGGGTATGAAGTATCGCATGACCGGTTCGATCAGCGACTGCACAGGTTCGTTTAGCTTGTCCACCTTTGCCAAATTGTAACGACTGGCCACCAAAAGCACGCTGATATATTTTACCATCTTCCGTACGACTAAAGGGACAGCCTAAGAGTTTTTTAGTATTTTTATTTAATATGATTTTTCTTGCTCGGATATATAAATACAAATGAATAGAAAGATAGGTCAAACACGAACTTAAAAATAAGATGAAAGTTTATTAAGATATTAAACTATAAAAGATGTGAGAGCTTTTTACAATCATTAATATATGGAACGTTTCGAACTTTACTCAGCCATTTAAATAATTAGAAAAATTATATAAGATTAAAACATTATTAATAACTTATTACAAATAAATTTTTATGATTTCATTGATTAGTTTCATTGATTAGTATTTTCTATGTTCTTTCCAATTTTATTTGTAATAAATTATTAATAATGTGTGTTTTTTTAATCTTATACAATTTCTTTAATTATTTAAATGACTGAGGATGATTAAATAAAGTCTTAATAACTTTCATTTTATTTTTAAGTACATATTTGAC